GCCAGGCATTCATAAGGAAGAATAAGTCTCCATATATTTATTTGGGAGCTGGGTGGCAGGCCCCTAAAGAGTTAAAAAAAAAAAAACCCCAAAACCAACTACACTCTACAGCATAATTTTTTGGGTGGATTTTTGAGACTGAGTCTTACTATTCAGTTCTATCTAGCCTCAAATTTGTGATTCTCCTGTCTCAACCTTCTAAGCCTAGGGATTAGAGTGTGCCAGACTTAACAGCTGCATGGTATTCTGCTATATGGCTATAACATGATTTATTTAACAGTCTCTCAGTAGTAACATTTAGCTGTTTCCGATTTATTTCACCATTAGACGCAATGGGCTCTAATAAAATCTTTGCACATCTTTTTTGTTTGTTTGAGACAGGATCTCACAATGTAGCCCTAACTGTCCTGGAACTGGCTATGTAGACCAGGCTGCCCTAGAACCCATAGTGCTCTGCCTCCTAGAGTGTTGGGATAAAGGGTGTGTATCATCATGTCTGGCTATAAACACCTTAATGAAAGTGTTCTCATAGGACAATTTCCTAGAACTTTAGAATTTTAGAACCAAAGGGGGTATACATTTAAATATTTTTATTTAAAGTGATAAAATTGTCATAGTTCTCTCCCACTCACCCTATCTATTTACATATTATTGCCAGCCATTTGGAAATGTCTTTTTCTTCACACGCTTTCCAAAAAATCATCACCAATCTGACAGGTAAGAAGCTACATTACATTGTTTATCATACTTATTTGATTATTAGAGAAGCTATAAAATACAGTTATTGGTCATTTGAATTTGTGAATTTCTTAGCTCATGTCTTTTATCCTTTGTTCTTTAGGGCATAGAGCAAGCTTTCTAAAACACAAAGCAGATCATACACTGTTCTCACTCAATGCCTGCCCACATTTGGGTCCTTCACAATTTGGTTTTTACCTATCTCTTTTAAAAAATAATTTTTATTTATTCTTAACTACCTCTCTGAATCATTTCTATTACATGGATCAATTAAAAGCTCTGGCCTACTTGTATTCTTTCAAAATGCCTCATGACTCTGGCTTTTCACATTGCCATTCCAAGTCTCTGGGATATCTTATGCTTCTTACCCTATAAACTACTACTCATATTTGGCTCAGTTTCCTTCTCTAATCAGCTTCGCTCCCCATCCCTCTCCATGCCCCAGAAAAACCCTGTGGTTGCCTTTTATGTTACACTGCCATTGCCTGTTAACCTGTTTCATAATTCCTAATAGGCAGAACTCCTTAAAGGAGGGAATCCCAAAGCTTATTTTTGTTTTTACTTATAGTCAATAAAATGTTTTATCTACTTGCTGGCAAGATGGATAACATGTGCAGTAAATCCAACATGTTTGAAGCCAAAATCATTTTCCCATCCTCTCTGTTTTTCTTTCCTCAATGAAATTTTCATTATTTATCAGACTCAACTCCCAAATTCAACTGAATACTGCTATTTTCTATCCCATACTACCCTTAAAAGTTACTTAACATACAAATTTGATGTTATTTTATCTTCCACCTTTTTTGTTTTTTGAGACAATGTCTCATGTAATCCTGCGTAGCTTTGAACTCATCCTGTAGCTGAGGCTTACCTTTAACCCCTGACCTTCCCACCTTGAAAGTGTGCACAGGTCAGCATCACCACACGGAGCTGTTTTGTTTGTTTTTAGACAGAGCCTCAATACATAGCCCAGGTTTGTGGGGTTTCTGTTGTTTTTTTTTTTTTTGTTTTTGTTTTTGTGTTTTTGGACACAGGGTTTTACTGGCCTGGACCTCACTATACAGATCAGACTGGTCTTGAATTCAGAGATCCACCTGCCTCTTCTTAGGCATGCACCACCACACTTGGCTAGCCTTGAATTTAGGATCTTCCTATCTCATACCCTAAGTATTGAGATTACAGAAGTATGCCAGCATAGCTGACAACTTCCTTTTCCTGAAAGTATGTACTCCTAACAGAACAAAATCCAAATGCCTTAGGATTCTACTTATGATCCTCTACAATATAGGCTCTTGCTATTTCAAAAGTCTTAATTTCCCAACCACCTCCATTTACTCTTGAACACACTTCGTGTTGGATTTCTATGCCTCTGACATATTATTTCATCTGTAAAGATCTATCCCCCTTTGCTGCCATTGTATATGCTTAGCAGACTCCGATCCATCCTTTAAGACATAGTTCAAATGCTTCTATGTGAAATTTACCCTGATTACTTAAAAGCACAATACGACACTCCCTTTTTAGGGATACCTCAGCACTCTGCACTTATTTGTGCTTGAGTACTTAGAACATTATGTCAGATGATTCCACTAGACGAGCTCCGCAAGGACAGGCCATGTCTTATTCATTTATGTATTCCCAGGGTCTAGACAATGCTTGGCCCAAGCAGAGGTGCTCAGGGAATGTCTGACAGATGGAAGCCATCTGATGCTAGGCCCTTTGTCACCATAGGTGGGAAATGATGCCAGAGCCCAGTAGCATCTTACTGCCCATTACCTGATGTTGCTATCCTCCAAACCACGGGAAGCCTCCCCACCATCTCCCTCATAGGACATCATGCTTTCTTCATTTTCCATGCCCATCCTCGTATTCTCTTGAAGCACACGAGGATGTTTGGGTCTTATACTGCCAGATCCCACATCAGAGTCACTTCCACTTTCACTTAGCTGAATAGCTGTAAAAAGACAGATTGTGGTTCATTAACAGACAAGCTTGACTAGGGGTATGGCTCAGTGCTAGAGTGTTTGCCTCGCATGTATGAGATAGACTTTGTGCCTAAAGTCCTCACCTCTCAGGCCTCTCTTGAACTATCAAATGTCAATAGTAGCAAGATCTATAGTTTAGAAACTGAATCCAAGTAACTTATTTCTTCTATCTCAGTCTAATCTACCCGTTTTCTATCATCTCCAATACCTTTACCTTACCATTGCAATTATTTTTCTTAATTTTCCTTTCCTGTTCCCAAACACAACCCTTCAAAGCTGCTACTTGGGCACTGCCTTTTCCACTGTTCCCTTTATGTCTCCTGTGTCTGCTCATCTTCACTTCCCCTCAGGCTAATGGACATGATCATCCTCTGAGTATGTGTTCAGTACTCTCAGGTCTACTAATGGGACTTCAATAAAAAGACAGGTTTTTTTATACTAGCACATAGCAAGTAGCACAGTGGTTTCTATTCAGTCCTGAGGGCACAACAGTGAGCTACACAGAAACAGAAGCGAAAGAGTAAGACTCACCAGAAAAAGGGTTATCTCCTTCTTCATCACTCCCTGCGTCTTCCTCATCATCTTCTCCTTCAGACATAAGCAAGTCCTCATACAGGACACTGGCTTGAGTCTGTTGTACAGTTCCTTCCTCTTCATCGGCAAGATCACCATCTCCATCTTCACCTTCCTAAAAAAGTCCAGGTGGTGCCCCATCAGTGACGAAGAGACCAGAATACCTTCCTTCTCCTGCATCCCATTTGCTGCCTCACAAGAAGTTAAGTAACTGTAGTGGATGGATTTGTCTAACTCATTCTAAGGATTAAAGTCAGACTGAGGCTCGCTATGGAGAAAATCTATGATTCTCATCTTGGGATTTGGCCTGCCCTATACTACTGGGGTTCCTGTCATATAAGTGTATAATGTAACCATAAGCTTTCTGTAAGCATACTCACTGGGGCTGGAGTCTTAGGCTTCTCCTCCTCCTCCTCCTCCCCTTCAATATCTACAGAGTCTTCCTCGCCCAGCCTACCTTGGCCCTGGCAAATGTGAGTAAGGAACACAAATAGCACATCATTGAGGGATGTGCCTGTAGGAGTTAACCAAGGGTTCTTTACCTAGGCCGGATGCTCTTTCCTGATATCCCAGCCAACACCATGGCTAGTGGAGGCTGTTTACACTGCTCAAGGCATGTGCACTTCCTCCCAGTCATTCTTTGGAAATAATAGACAGGGCAAGAAAAACACAAAGAACAGGAAAGTTTTTGGTCTACTCCTAACTGTCATCAGAAGGGAATGTTTCCTTTCTAAGGCAAGCTTTTGAGATAGAAAATCCTTCTGGGTTTTGTACTCTTTCGTGGAACCTTGAGAATAGGTATAGCTTCAGATGAAAAGTATGTTTTTGCTGTGGGATGTTCTGTATGGCAAATGTGTTGCTAATTAGTCAATAAATAAATCACTGATTGGCCAGTGGCCAGGCAGGAAGTGTAGGCGGGACAAGGAGGAGAATAAAGCTGGGAAGTGGAAGGCTGAGTCAGAGAGACACTGCCAGCCACCACGATGACAAACAGCATGTGAAGATGCCGGTAAGCCACGAGCCATGTGGCAAGGTATAGATTAATGGAAATGGATTAATTTAAGCTGTAAGAACAGTTAGCAAGAAGCCTGCCACGGCCATACAGTTTGTAACCAATATAAGTCTCTGTGTTTACTTGGTTGGGTCTGACGGCTGTGGGACTGGCAGGTGATAGAGATTTGTCCTGACTGTGGGCCAGGCAGGAAAACTTAAGCTACATGTTTTGATACCTCTGGTAAAAGCCAGTTTAAAAAAATTATACATAATATTAATTTGGTTTATAACTTATAGGATGCACAAAATAGTATGCCAATTGTTGTGAACACTATCTCTGAATGCAGCTGGTCTTTCTAGCTAGTCACCTATTAGGCTGCTCTGATGCTTCAACTACTTTCTCTGAAGTTCTGTTGTGCTTAATTCTGCCAACCATGCCCCAGAAATCAAATTTCAAAGCCTTGTTTTCAGGGCCAAAGGATCTAGTCACCCTTCATGTATGCATGGTATCAGTCCACCCCTCCATGTTCACCCACCAGGCAGACCACCAACCTCACAAAGAGAAATAGTCTCCTACCTGTGTTAGCTGCTTTTCTGAAGTAGCACTGGGAATATCCAAGACAGACATATTGCTCTCATCTTGATATACAGAGGCATCTCGAGAAACACTGAGGGATGTGCTGTTATCATACAAATCAGGAGGCTGTGGCATAAAACATACAATTTAGCTTCTACCAAGGGAACAGCTAGAAGAAATACAAAGAATCCTCCTTTATAACATTCACTAAAGAAAAAGGACATGCAAGACAACCCAGTTAAAGAGGAAACACAGCCTGGTACAGCTTTGTAGACAAATTTTTAGAATCCTATGAATAACATCCACTCTAGCAGACTGGCATCTAATGTATGTATTCAGAAACTAAAGCAGAAATGCATAAAGCTTAGGGACAAGTTTATGTATTAACGGCCTCTCTGGTCAGTAACCTACTTTTTTCTTCTAAGCCTTGCCTTACTGTTTTTAAGCTCAGAGATTCATATTAGTTATAGTTTTATTGACTTAGAGGCATATAAGAAGAAATTGGATAAAGGAATTTAAGTTTCAACAAGAGTATGGGATGGTTTGACAGTTCATGAGCTTGCGGACGATGCTTCAAAGCAAAATGATATGTTAAAAACAAAACAAAATATGGGCTTTGGAGTAAACAGCCCTGGGATTGAGTCTTGGCTCTACCACTGTTAATCATCCTGTTTTCTTCAACTGTAAAGCATGGATGATAATATCTACCTCACAGGGTTGTCATGTGTACCAATTAAGAGCTATGTACCAATACTTGGTACTTAATAAATGATAGATCTCTTCCTCTTATTGTCCCTGAAAGGAACAGGGATTTAGCAAATAGATTCTAGTCAATGATAAGAGGGACTAGATAAAATATTCATGAAGTGCATAGAATAAGAAAATTAATATTAATTTTAAAGTATGTTTATAGACATAAACACATATACCACAGATATGAAGAAACTCAAAATATTCAGTGATTGGTGTTATGAAAGACGGAATTGATAAGTAACACCTCTTCTTCGTATCTTCCAATTTTCTTTTTAAAAAAGACTTCATTCACTTTTTAAAATTATGTATATACCTGTATGTTTGAGTGTGGGTTTGTGCATGTGAGTACAGTGTCTATGAAGGCCAGAAGAGGTGTCAAAACTTCTGGAGGTGGAGTTAAAACAGCAAGCCACATAACATGGGTGCTAGGAACCAAACTCAGGTCCTCTGAAAGAGCAGCAAGCACTCTTAACTGCCAAGCCATCTCTCCAGCCCCATCTTCTAATTTTCCCCAATCATCACGTTACTTTGAGCAATACAAAACCTGCTTATGAGCAAGGAATAAAGCCTATAGTTCCAGCACAAATTGGAGGCCAGTCTGGATTATACAGCCAGACCCTGTCTCAAAGAAACAAATGCACACCTACAAGTGTTGCTCTGTAAACAAGTAAGCAAACAACATTGACTGAGAAGATCTGAGTTTCCAAAATAGAGGCAAAACAGGTTTCAAAACATTAGTGCACAGATAAACTGGTATGCAACGGAAGGGAAAAATCAGGAAATTTCTGCAAAATTTGAAAGTGTAGTATGAAAATAAAGAAAATTATGGGAAACTATAAAATTAGTAATTCCAAGGTATTGAGCTCAATGCAAGCTCGGTATAAATAAATATCCAGATGCAAATACATTATTAACCGCCACCATTTGGAAGTTGAAAATAACATGATTACTGCCATGCTTCTATACAATCACAACTGTATTATGACAGTTACATAGACATAGACACTTTGTAATAATCTTTTGATTTTATATAGTAATGAGTAAGGGTGGTCACACATGAGGCTCTTCCTTGAGTTAATAGGCAATGACTGGGCTATCTTACAATGTATATACATAAATGAAGGGAATGATGAGAGCATGAACTGATAAGAATGAAGCAGTACTATCCATACCATACTCTCCATAGGAAACTCACTAAGAATAGGAAAACAACTATTGCTCAGGAAGGACAAGGCTTTGATTCACCAATGGTCTAGGCTTATGACTGTCCAAGACTTGAGAAAAGCACATGCCACTTGGTGGTTAGATTCTTCTGGAGAATGATGGCTAGTACTCAAGCTTTAACTTACCAGAAAGTACCTTGTGGAAACTGTGAGCCTATTAGCAAACAAGGCCTTCCTGGGCAACATCACTCACCCAAGCCCCCTTGACCCAATCTGCCCATACAACTCCAAGAGCCTTTCCTTGTTCTGGACCTTGAAGTATCTGAGGGTTCTTTATACCTGGCCCCTCAGTAACCTAGGTTTTGGGATGAAAGAGAGAGTAAAAGAAAGATAGAGAAAGTGTACGAATGAGACACAGAGACAGCAAAAATCCAATAGAGATCATGTATGCTGCATTTAAACTCAGAGTGAAACCTGGGTAGAATGAAAAATAATCCTATGGGAATAGGAAGAAATTCTGCATTTAAAGTATTTGGTTAAATTTGAAAGAGCCTCTGGGAACTTTACAAAAAAACAAAACAAAATAAAAACCCTTCACACAAAGAAGGAAAGAAATATTTACCAAATGCCTATCATGTGCCATACAAACTAATCACTTAACGTTAGAAAGCACATCTTAGAGAAATGGGAATAGAAATGTTAATTTCCCAGTATCACAAAACTAGACAGTAGCAGAGCTAAGACTCATACCCAGGCCTGTTTTACACCAAACCTCATGTCCTTTCCACTCTACCACTCTATCTCCAATAAAGAAACTATGGACCTGTTAATATTCCATTTAAAGTCTATTCTTCAAATACGCCAACTTTCTCAGAATGTAATATAGAGGAAATATTCAAAAGGTTCCTTCAGACCAGAAAAACTAAAAAATTTCTTATTTACCCTGCTTTCTAGTCTTCTAATATATAAACTTAAAATACAAATATAAACAGTCTTCATTTAGTAGGAAAGGGAATTAACCCTGGAAATTGAGTGATGTGAGTAACAATGACATACCTCTAAGGTAATGGTAATCAGACACCTAGAAGGTACAAGAACAATATGGCCCACATCTGTAACTGAGCAACCTACATTCTAAGGACATTCTAGAACCCCAGAATTTGCTGACAAGAGAACTGGACCTAGAGGATAGCTCTGGCTATAGTAGTCAGGAATCTGGTATTCTCACACACTGTCTATAAACAACCACCCCACTCATTCATCCCATAGTTGCCTCTTCTGGATTTAACAAGGCCACAAAGATACATGGCCCTCACTCACCTTAGCCTTTGAGAAGACAAGAAAGCACACGAAAGGCATATGAAGAGGAAGGACAGAGAAGAACGGTATCTCAGTAAACACATCCGTTAACATGCTCCCAATTTCCCAAACCATAAGAAAATTGTAAGAAATTCCTAATCCTTTGGCTCACCTGAGGTGTGTAAGGTCCTGGAGTCATTGGGTCCAAGCTTTCTAATTCTGCTTCCTCCAGAGCTGCTTCTTTAGCTGTACAAATATCTTTCTCAAGTTGAGTCAAATGTTCATCATACTGAGAAACAAAGAAAATTAATGAATTCATTCAACATTAAGGTACTGGGCAGGCAAAAATAAACAACACACACACACACACACACACACACACACACACACACACACACACACACACACACACTGTCTTCATAGTACTTCTATTCTAACAGCAGAACACAGCTGATAACCTAAACAAAGCAGAGAAAGAAATGACAGAATGAGGGTAGAAGATGGAATATTACTTTGAAAGAAAACAGGGTAGTCAGGAAAGCTTCAAACTCAAGGACACAACAGAAAGGCTTCCTGGAGCTAGATCTTAACCACCTACCTCAGTTAACGTCTGGTAACAAACATTCACAATCTCCTGAGCAGTCTTAGTATACTGACTCTCAGGCCCTAGGAAAGAAGTAAAATGCCATTACCTTTGTAACTTCAAGAATTTTATATTTCTTCAACACACTGATTTAATATATATTGCTATTTATTCATTTATTTAAATAACCACTAAAATTTGTTTTTTTATATCTTTCAAGACAGGATTTCTTTGTGTAACATTGGCTGTCCTGGAACTCGCTCTGTACACCGGGCTGGACTTGAATTCAGAGATCCGCCTGCCTCTGCCTCCTGAGTACTGGGATTAAAGGCATGCACTACTACCACCCAGCTAAAATGTATTTTTTATGTTATGTATGTGGGTGTTTTGCTCATGTGTATCTCTGCACACTATATGCATGCCTGGTACACAAAGAGGCCCAAAGAGGCTGTCGGACTGGAGTCACAGATGGTTTGGGGCTGCTATATATGTGCTGGGAATTGAACCCAGGTCCTCTGGAAGAGGAGTCAGTGCTCTTAATCACTGAACAATCTCTCTAACCTCATACATTGCAATTTAAAAACAAGAATTTTACACTTTGTTATCCAATAGTCTATCATTATTTAAGATTCAGAAAAACTTATATTTAATCCTTACCTTGGACCTCTCCTCTACTTTTATAAATGAAAATTTTTATTTGATTTTTGGATTTTTGTTTTGTTTTTTGAGGCAGGGTCTCACTATATAGTTCTGGCTCTCCTGGAACTCATTATGTAGATCAGGCTGGCCTCAAACTCACAGAGATTCGCCTGCCTCTGACTCCACATCTAGCTATTAGTGGGAAAACTTTAAGCATACAAAATCAGACTAATTAGTACCCTAATTAGCCAGCTTTAACAATGATCAACACAGCCAGGTGGTGGCGGCGGTACACGCCTTTAATCCCAGCACTCGGGAGGCAGAGCCAGGTAGATCTCTGTGAGTTCGAGGCCAGTCTGGTCTACAGAATGAGATCCAGGACAGGCATGAAAACAACACAGAGAAACCTTGTCTTGCAAAACCAAAACAAACAAACAAACAAAAACCCAATTATGAACACATGGGTAATCTTGTTTCATTTATATTTCATTTTCTAGACTCTTCTCAAAATATTTTGGATACAAGATCTCATTATGTGCTCTAGACTCGTCTCCTTGCCTCTATCTCTAAGCTACCCTGAGATACATACAGAGACCCAGTGTCAAATAAACAAATAAGAATCCTTATGTAATCTATGGATTTATGGAGTGTCAATGGAGGGTTATTTATTAATAGAACTCCTGTACCACTTTGGTGTAAGGATGTTGATAATGGGAGTGGAGAGTATACTGGACCTCTGTAACTTCTACCAATTTTGCTATGAACCTAGAACTACTCTAAAATATAAAGACTACTTGAAAAACAAGAACTACTTTCTAAGCCAAACTGTATCATATCTAAAACAATAATCCCTTGGCACATGTCTTTAATTCCAGCACTCCAGAGGCAGAAGCAGGTGGATCTCTGTAAGTTCAAGGCCAGTTTGACTTACATAGTTCCAGACCAGCCAGGGCTACATAGTGAGACTCTGTCACAATAAACAAATAATTCTTTTTTTTATTAATTAATTAATTTTACATCTTGATCGCAGCTTCCTCTCCCTCCTCTCCTCTGAACTGGCCATCCCCTGTGATCGGATTGGTGACTACCCCAGGTGTCATCAGATAGCCTTCATCCAGTGACTGATGGAGGCAGATTCAGAGACCCAGAGCCAAACATGGGGCCATGTTCGGGGAGTCCTGCTGAGGAGAGGGAAGAGGGATTGTAGGAAAAAAGGGGGTGGGGGTCAGGAACATCGCAGGAAAAACCACAGAAATCACTAGCCTGGCTCATGGGAACTCAAAGAGTCTGAACCAACAACCAGGGAGCCTGCATGGGACAGACCTAGGCCCTCTGAATATATGTAATTCTTTAAGATAAATGAATAGCTAATCAATGTTCAAATTATAGGCCTGCACCACCAGTTGATCAAACTCAGAGCTTTATGTATACTAGGCAAACACTCTACCAACTAAGATATATCTCCAGCTCCTATAACGTATTTTTCTATGGTAAATTAAACTTCAATGAAAACTTAAAAAAACTAATTAATACAAAATATTTACTACAAAATTTCAGATAAAAACGCAATGGTTGATATTTCTTAAAAATTAAAAGATAGGGCAATGGCCAGGCACTGTGACACGTGTTTTTAATCTAAGCACTCAGGAGGCAGAGGCAGGCGGATCTACAGTGAGTTCCAGGACAGCCAGGGCTACATGGTGAGACCCTTTCTAAAAAACCAAAAAATTAAAAGATAGGGCAACAGAGGACCAACATCTTCTAGGACACAAATGGCCTGGGACTGAGTAGCAGCTCCTCTATGTTTCATTTACTGTTTTGAGACAGGGTCTCCATATGCAGCCTAGGATGGCTTTGGAACTCATAGAGAGCTACCTACCTTTTCCTGAGTGCTGAGATTACCAGCATGTGCTACCATATCCAGTTTATGTGATGCTGGGGATTGATCCCAAGTTTTCTGGCATTCTAGAAAAACTCTTTGAAATATAGCCCCAACCCAATAAAGAAAGCTTTCACAGATGTGATCCTTGAAATATATCTACTGCTTACCATTATATAAAGAATAAAAAGTATACCACATGGGGGAGTAGAGATATAGCTTAACAGGATAGTTTACCTACCATGCACAAGACCCTGGGTTTGGCCCACAGCACCACGAAAAGTATACTATATATACATATACTATGATTATTACAAGCCATTATAGGAATAAGGAAGTCCTTTTCAGGGGCTGGAGGTTCAGAGCACTTGTTGTTTTAGTTTGTTTATTGGTTTTTCAGACAGGGTTTCTCTGTGTAATAGCTCTGGCTGTTCTGGAACTTACTTTGTAGACCAGACTGGCCTTGAACTCACAGATCCACCTGCCTCTGCCTCCTAAGCGATTAAAGGCGTGGGCCACCACCGCCTGGATAAGAGCACTTGTTCTTACAGAGAATCCCTGTGCATTTTCAACACTCACATGGTGGTTCGCAACCAACTGTTAACTCCAGTTCCAGAGGATCCAATATCCTCTTCTGAATTCCTTGGGTACCAGGCACGCATGCGGTGCTGAGAAATACATTCAAGCAAAATATTCATACACATAAAATAAACCTAAAAAAATATGTCCTTTTCAGGTAAAAACATCTCCCAAGTATACACTATCTACTCTTTTGTGAATTTGGAGTCAGGCACGATAGTGCATACATGCCTGTATCCCAGTGCTGGAGAGGTTAAGGCAGTAGATTATGAACTCAAGGCTAGCCTGGATTACAGTAAATTTAAGGTTGACACGAAAAACTTAAAGATCATGTATCATATATCCAAAATCTAGTGGCTGGAGATGGCTCAGCAGTTAAGAATGCTTTCTGCTCTTGAAGAGGACTCCAGTTCTGATCTAAGCACCCTCATCATGTAGCTCACAGTTACCTGTTCCAGGAGATTCAATGTAATTTTTGGCCCCCGAGGCACTCATATTCATTCTATTTCTCTGTCTCTGTGTCACACACATACACACATACACATAAAATGAACAAAAATATTTTTTATTTTTCCAGACAGGGTCTCTCTAAGCAGCCATGGATATCCTGGAACTTGCTATATAGATCAAGCTGGCCTCCAATTCATAGGAGATCCTCCTACCTCTGCCTCTCAAGTATTGGGATTAGAGGTATCACCACATACACAGCAAGATCTTTAGAAAAAAAATCAGATTGGGCTAGGGATATAGTTTGGTGGTAGAGTACTTTCCCAGCATTTGCAAGGCTCTGGGTCTAATCTTTAGCACACAAAAAAGATGCAAAATAAAATAAATTTGTATCCTTATGCCAGACACAAATAAATCAGAAAGAAAACTTAAGCCAATCATCAAGACATTAAGAACACAAATAATAAAGAACAGTGTAGTGGCATTGGCCTTTTTTGTCCGTTTTGTTTTTTCAGACAGGGTTTCTCTGTGTAACAGTTCTGGCTGTCCTGGAACTTTGTAGACCAGGCTGGCCTCGAAACTCACGAGATCTGCCTGCCTCTGCCTCCTGAGTGCTGAGATTAAAGGTGCTTGCCGCCGCCACCACCAGGCTAAGGATTTGTTTCTTTTCAGACAGGGTTTCTCTGTTTAGTCCTGGCTGTCCTCAAACTCACAGAGATCCACCTACCTTTGCCTCCCAAGTGCTAGGACTAAGGGTGTGCGCCACCACCTCCCGGCTGGCATTGGCCTTTTATCCAAGTACTACAAAGGCTGAGGCAGGAGGCCAGTGCAACCTGTAATAGCAAGATACTATCTCATCTATCCCTCCCTCCACACACACCAAGAAAAGAGCAGCTACTGCTTGTTTCTGCATTTTTTTATCTCTTAGTTCTAATCAATCAGTAGTTTGATACTCAAAATACTGATGGAAAAGAGACTACAAAAGTTCTCAGACAAGCCAGGCACTGGGAGGTTGAGGCAGGAGGATTGCTACAAGTTCCTAGCTAGCCTATAGAGTGAGATTTCCCCCTGCCCTCCAGACAGGGTTTCTCTGTATAGTCCTGGCTATCCTGGAACTTGCTCTATACACCAGCCTGGCCTCGAACTCACAGAGATCTGACTGCCCCTGCCTCCCAAGTGCTGGGATTAAAGACGTGCACCACCACCACCCGGTGACTCTGTCTTAATAAAAAGTTAGTGCAGGCCCAGAGTGATGGCTCAGTGGTTAAGAGCATTTAATCTGCAATCATGAAGACTAGTCAGATCCCAGCCCAGCAAATACAAAACAAACTGAGCATTCCCCCCAAATACCTGTAACCCCAGATCTGAGAAGAACAGAGACAGGAAGATTGCTGGGGCTTGCTCTCTTCCAGTCTAGTGAGACTAAGCTTCAGGTTCAGGAAGAGAACCTGCCTCAAAGGAATATGCAGAATGAGAGAAGAGGATATCCAATGCCTTCTAGTCTTGGTGTCTGCACATAGGTACATGAACACATACACA